CTAGGTTCAGTTGGACTAAGCACTAGGAACAGAAGTTTAAATACTTGTATGCATTTGGTTCTATCAGTAAGCATGCATATATAAGAAATTAAGATGTGGGTTTTTTGAAAGAAACATAAGGCAGTAGTGAGTTCATTCTGCATTAGAAATCCTGGCTTAAATAAAAGGGATTTAGCTGCTGTTAAGACTTTGCTTTGTCAATTAATTTATTTGGAGCAGATTAGCATTTCTCAGAAGATGCTTAGAGTTTCAAGGTCAACAACTATCTGGCTAATAGGGCTACATCAATTAACATGGTTAGAATTTATTCCATTGTTTCAGAGAAACTAAAAGATGTAGAATGGCTTTGTTTCAGGAAGAGAGAACCAAAGTGTAAGTTTCAAGTAAAAACAGAGATTGTAGTGTATACAGGTGTAAAATGGGATAGTCCTTGCATCATCTTTTTGCATGAATTTCTGAGAATGGCTGAATAGGGTTCAAAACAAGAAGCACAAAACTCTCATTTGGCTTTTGCTTTAATGTAGTCCTAAGGAAACAGAGACTTGAATTTTTGCTGTGCAACAATCACAGTAATGGTTGGTGCCTCCCAGCCTTATGGGTATTCACAGTTTCTAAAACAGCAGCTGCAAAAGCCAAAGTCTTTCTCTTAGTGAAGAAAGCAGTAATGTTGCCTGTTGCCTTGGTGGAGGCTGAAGCAGACTTTTTGTCCCTTCACTTTAAGAGGAGATGTAACATAAAAGGAAAAAAAAACCAAACCAAACCCAACACAGAAGTTGGTTTATATCCCAGAAGATTCCAAACTGGACATAAAATTCATGCTTACAATAGGTTGATAATAAAAGATTCCTGTATTCTGGAGATAAAAATGGAGGCTGGAAGGAATGTCATCAGTTTATCAGTATCAACAGACTGAAGAAATATGTTTTCATCCTCTTCTTTTGCATTCAGCTTCTCAGTGTGGATAATGATGCCAAGAATCCAGGTTGTTCTGTCTTAGGTTAAGGACCACCTTCTCCTTTGTGCTCCTTTTCGATTCACTCACTGCAACGCTGCCATCATCATAGGAACAGTTTCAGCATGTAGTTGGGTCAATAGTTGAATTTGTTACTTCAGGCAAGAACAAAAAATTGCTAGAAATGTGCAGAGTCTGTATGTAAGCAGTCAGAAAATGGACCTAACGTCAGTTCTTCATTTGTAGCTATACCCTCATGAGTTCTCTGAGCCTGATCTTCTTGAATCTGAAATGCAACTAACAACTTTGAGTGCTTTAACAGAGCATTGACAGAACAGGAAGAGTTTGGGGGATATACACATTTATGCAGTACATCAAATTCTGCAGCCCTTTGTGTTCCTGTAAATGTTGAGTGACTTGAATGCAGGTAGCAGAGTCTGTCTAGATTTATATCCATGAAACAGTGAGATTTGGTGCAGCCTGTAGACTATTTAGCTTCCTTTTACCCAAATTCATTGCAGCTCTTGGACCTCAGTTATTTGCAACATTGCTTAGAGTTACAAGGCTGTGGGATAACTCTGTACTTTTACCTTTGGACTAAGATATGTTGTTATGAATTATGCAGGAGAAAAATGTCTGTCACTCCACCTACATAGGACATTTTCTAGATATATGCAGATTTGCATGTCAAATTACTCAGATTCCTGTTAAGCTGTGATGGCTTACTTCATTTGCTGCAGCCCATGAATATGAAATGAAAGGGTCAAGCTGTGTTAGCTTTGACTTTTGCTTTCCTGACTTTTTTGACTTTAAAGTAGACTTTTAGTGCTTGTCAGTATGTTACCTGAAGACTGTCTGTGGGAAGTGTTCTGTTTAGCTCTTTCTTCCTATATTGAATCTCCATTACGCTAACAATAACAAATATCTTTTTTACACTCACATAGCATTTTTCAGAGCAGCACAAAATGTTGAATGGACCTCATATCACTTTAATTTGTCAGCCCTGGCTATATAGCTCCCTCATAATTATCACGGATATTCATACTTTTGAGTAAAAGAGAAGAATGGCAGAAATATCTCTTCAGCTGGGAAATGCTGATATTTTAAAATGGCAGTGACTGTAAACAGCTTTTCTAGAGCTACCTTTTAAATATCTATTGTTAAGAAATAAATTAAATTCTGCAGTGTGCTTCAGGATAGAAGGAGTTAAGTAGAGTGTTATCCACCCTTCAAAAAGAAATTTTGGGACAAACTATTCATATAATTAGTCAATCTTTCTTATATTTGTAGCTGAGTTCTTCAGAAATAGCTGAACACAAATTTCCCAATAATTTTGCAGTGTCATGTTTCCCTCTGCTGTAAACATATTTTGCAATAGTCTGTGAGCATGGCAGAAAAATTTATTGCTTGCCAATACCTATGCACCAGCTCTCTAATATTGGAGAATATTTGATACAATTACCTATGGTTAATAGTACTTCTCTCTTCAAACAGTATTGCTGAAGTCAATGTATTACTCAACATGAACAAACACATCACAATCACCCCCTATGTCTTTCAAATACAAACATGTGTTTAATAATGATAAATTTGTATGCAACCATGCTTCTGTGTTCTAGGATGGATGGATGCATTGTTTACATGTAATCGCACAGCAGTCTTGTGCATGCATATATAGTTAGCATGATGTTGAACAGTTTCTCATTTGACAATATAAGGAGATTGTGTTGATCCAATATCATAAAAAGGAAGATTATTACTGTCTATGATACCTCCTTTCTGCTTTTCTGAGGTCTCACAACTGATGTCTCTTCTTCCTCAGCTGAAGTTGCTCCTCAAAGTTACATAGAGCTAAAAACCCCCACTGCTTTGTGCTCCCATGGGTATTTCTGTCAGTGTACGGTGAGTGTAAAATAGAGTGAGAATCCAAATTACACCATAGCTGGAAAATCAGGCCCAGATTTTCTCAAGTAAAGGAAACTAAATCTTGGTTATCAAGAGTTAAAGTGATGTCCACCAAAAATATCACCAGTAATTACTGTGTAGCAATTGACCATTAAATTGGAATTAAGCCTAATACAGTTTCTTGGTACACTCTTTGTTTCTTCAGTAGATGGGTCTCACCTCTGGTGAATACAGTATTAATCTGTGCTTAATCATAAAACAAATGAATTAATAAACTAAATTATATTTTAATCTGCTTATTTTTCAAATTATTTATGATTGGGATTGTCTGTACTTGATCTGCAGTAATCTTTGCTCAAGGAAAAAAATAGAGATTAAGTTTTTCTATGTTTTGTTGTTTTTTGGGTTTTGGTTTTGTTGGTGGTTTTTTGTTTTTTTTTTTAGAGAGACCTTTCCATTTAAGAACCTACTAGCTCTCGAATAACAAATGTCCAGTAATCAGGCAAGACATTGCTTGGACTAAAGACATAAACTGTATTATAGATTCAATTATATATCCAAAGAGATTTAGTGGATTAGCTGTTGTATGCACACTTTGGCCGCAATGCAGTGTAGTCTGTAGCTACATATTTCATAAACTTGTGACTATTTTAATTAATTTCATGTAGAACTGAACAGAAACCAGAGTTTTCACTTCATGGACAAGTCTGCTACTTTGAAATGTGTGAGTGCAATGCAAATAAGCAGTGTATACATTTCTCTGAAAGGAAAGACATGGTACAATGATGATTTTAAATAAGTTGAAATATTTTTTTTCTTCTGACACCTTAAACATTTTTTGGAAGAGCTAAAAAATGAAAGTGGCTCCTTTTCAAGGAAGGAGAACTGAATGTAACTTAAATAAATTTAGAAAAATGTATACAGAGGTAAAATGGTGGTGGTATGTGCATCATCTTTTCTAATAGCAATAAGAATTTTCATCTGAATAATCATATTGTTCCAACCTGTAATGAAATGTATTTTCCTTATCAAAATGTTTTTCTAATAGTATGCCTGTAAGATGAAAGTGATTTCACAATAGGTGTGCTATGAAAATTGTTGTGTTCCCAGTTTTGGTTTTTGATGATTTGGCATTTGCTAGCAGAAAAATGATGCATCAGGACAATCTAGGTTAGCTTCCATTATATATTTTAAGCTAGGTCATGATCTCCTGCCTTACATCGGGCCCTCAGTGTAAACAGAAGTTAACCCAGAAACCCTTAAACTTGCACAGTTTGTTTTCCAGAGGATTTTTGATCATTTGCAACATGTGTACATTTGTTATCTTATCTCTCTGTTGCCATCATACAGTGTTCAACAGCTGCACCTCCTGTATATTCATGTACCTTTACAAACCCCTGATTTTTACTGTATCAGTGTAGAAAATGCAGAGTTATATTGCTTATACAGTGCTGTACAAAATCTCCCAAACAAAATGTGTAGTATGTTAATTTCTACATGACAGACAATTGAAGCATTGCCATTTTAATGCTTGATTCAAAGCCAGTGGTCAAGCAGCTGAAGATGACAAACCCACATCCTCTGACAAACCCATGGTCTTTCTAAAGCCTACACAATGGAGAAACAATCATCGGTGTATCTAAGGTCTGCTTAGATTTAGAAGTTCCTTATGAAAATAGGATTGATACTAAAAGAAGATTAATTTCACAACATGTTAGAGAGATAAAAGGTAGGTGACTGGTGTAAATTAACTTAGGAAAAAAACACTTCTGGATGGGTGTTTTATGTCATTTATCATGCATAGGCATCTAAAATGAGATGAGTCATTCACTGACATGCCCCTCTCTCCACACACACTACAGGGAAAGCTAAGCTTTGATTAGAGAGCTAACCTTAGGTGAATAAAGCCAGTAGAGATAAAATCCACGTATAGGAATTTAAGGCTTTTTGCTTCTTCTGCCCAGAAACTTATTCTTCAGCTTTTAGGAAGTAAGGAGATAGCAGGAGGAACAGAGCCAGAAAAAAGGAGGAAAGAATGAGCACCACACTCTTCCTAGTCACAATTCCTGGTTACCTTGTTGAGTTAGCCTCCTTTTACATGCTGGTAAGCAATCAAATGAAAGCTCAAAATGCTTTACCATACCTGATTGTGGACTTTGTTTGGGGATTTTGGCTGCTGCTTCGGGGCTGGAGGTGGCACGCACACGCTGATTGGCAGAGTTATGGATGCTACTTGGAACAGCTGCTGAGATGTTTTTGCGAGGTTTCATGTCTTGCAACCACATTGGAGATGCCTCAAAGGCTTGCATTCGCCGAGAGTGGCTGTTAGCATTGACTTTGAGAAATGCCTGGGCCTTGTATTCCTGAAGGTCTCCGTAGTTGGCATCGGTCACCCTGCACTCATACAAGCCTTCATCCTTTTTCCTCACTTTTGAGATCTGCAGCTTGTGGGAGATGTCATTCCCTTGTACTTTCACTGTCTGCAAATTTGCCAGGAAAACAAACAAACAAACATGTTGTCAGGTATTATTCTTTCTCTGGGAAGACTCTACCGATGCAGAGCCTGTTCAGAGAAGTCAAGTGCCAGATTAATCAGTGGTGTGATTGTGCTTACTGCAGGGAAGTTGCATCAAGGATGACTATGATTATTTGTGTCTATGAGCATGTCTGACATCTTCTTTCCAAATCTGTTTATGTGTTTTGCTCTGAAATGTTAATTGGCCTCAGACAAACAACACAACCAACCACAATCATTCCAATTAATTTTTTAAGATCATCAACATTCTTAATGAACTTTCTTACATAAACCTAATATCTGTGCACTTCATTGGTTAAACCTTTCCAGTTAGTTGGCTTTATTGAATAATTCCATTTTTGAACTACTGCATTAACAATTTTGTTGGAGACGTTTGCCAATATTTAAACTTCTTTAATAACATTTTATTAGATTAGCATGTAGTCTTCTCTACATTGAAACTGCATATTTGACATTCAATTTGTCTCCTTCAGGTGTGTCCAAATCTTTGTTTTTTTTGTTTATTAACCATAACACGACATCTTGTGTCAGGCAGTTCCTTTTGTCTCATTTATATAAGTGTGTAGTTATTAGAAGTCATATATCATTTCTGCAGCACATATTCAAGTAGCACATATTCAAGATCATTTTAAAAGTTGTCAGCTAAAATAAGACTCCTGATTTATTTTTAATTGCTTTTAATATCTGAGGGTAGCATAACGTATTTTTGTCTCCATAATTAAAACACACATGAGTAAATTATGCATCCAGAAATGTGTGATAGGTATTAAGATGCATTAGGAAAGGTAACACAGATTCCTTTCTGTATGTCCTTCACTTTAGAGAATTTATATTTAATTAATTGGCTATTACTCTCTATCTGGATTAATATCTTTTGCCCCACAGGAAGCTAGTTAAAAGGCATTCAGTGGGACAGAAAACTTCAGCTTTGAAGAACTCCTTTACCTGGTTTACTTCCACCATTACATAAACATGGATGCAAATGTTGCTTTGTGTCATGTCACTGACAGGCAATAAGGAAACATCAGGGTGATGAATGTAGGGTAGATGACAAAAATGGAGAACTGTTAGACTGAAACTAGGCATGTGTCATTGGTGATTACACAACACATTGCTTCTGATAGCTTGGCATGCTGTAGCCACCAGTGTTGGCAAAGCACCTATTCTGCCTGCTTGATAAATTGAAGAACAATACTTGTGAATACTTTATTGCTTTAAGGTACTGGATGGACTTTGCAGCCTGTTGTGTTGTATCCAGCTCTGAATTTATACTTGGCAAACTGAATTGAAAGTATGGATTGCATACATTCAGGCATAACATATGCAATATTAATTACACAGAAAGTGCTGGATAGTTATTTAAACCATATTCAATAATAATATATCTCTACTGAACAGCTCATATTCAGCAAAAGGATCATAGAAGTTTCATATGAATAGAAAGAGTATCTGTAGTCATATTCTGCCTTCATTTGCTCCCATGCAATATCTGCAAAATTAACAGTGTTGCATAGCACTAATGAAAAACAGAATTTGTTTTGGGTTTTGCATTTGAAATTTATAAATTGTTGCAGTCAGCATGTATGCATGTTTTCTATTTATGCCTGATTTTCATTTAAAACCAATAGAAGTGGTGTATTTCAGCAGAGTTTAAAAACACGTTTAGTATATTTTACTATTTCTTTAAAGAGTTTACTAAATGTACTTAAAAGTTTGCTCTCCTCTTCATGAAGATATTTTCCAGTAGTACTAATGGAGACTCTGTGTTTGCCTTCAAGAAAGAAAAAAAGGAAGGCTGTATTTGTAACAAGTGTATTTAGACTGTCAACCTAATGTTGATTTTTTTTTTATTGCAAGTATAAAATGTTTTATGCAAGCTTATAAAAACACTGTATGAATACCCCGTCGTGAATTATTATCATACATAATGAGAGAAAGATTTTTTTAACTTGAAAGATGGGACAAGCTTTACAGCCTACACTGTGTCACAGATCTTATGGATTAGTACGGGGATTTTGAATGAGCTTGTATTGATAAGGAATAAATTAGCTGCTAGCACTATGTCTAGTGGAATAGTATCCAGAGACCACATGTGGGCCTCATTTGTAAGACAGTCTGCAAATGTAACTGAAGATACGGTGCATGACATAAATCATTAATAGCATATGGTGAGAAGTATCATAGGAAACATAAGTATGGCTAGAATATGTATCATTTTGAATATAACATCTCTGTATTCTCATTTGTAAGTGCCCTTCAACTATACCTAGCTACACTTTGGCCTGCCATAATTACTTGGTTAGTTATCTGTAGGCATCAAAGAGCAGCAGAGTAAAGGATTTAACAGAAATTATCTGTTGCTGGTTTAAACTTTGCTGGTATTTACAGCCTTGGCTGCAGCTAAAAGGCACTTCTGAAGAGGTTGTACCTGAGAAAGGGAAAACACTTTTGGGCTCGTAAGGAATACTCCTGCTGCAGTATCTGCTAAGTGTCTATGTCTTTCCACTGCAGTGAGCACCACACCGTGACCCCACCATCATACATTTCTTGGGACACTGAGGGAGCAGGGTTTGAACTCTTCTGAGGTCAGGGGCTGTGGCTGTGCCTGACTCAGGATATGAGTCTGCTGAGGAAGGCATCTTTTTCCTGGACAAGGGCTGAAGCAATGTTGCTCATAATTTTGTTGAGACAACATTCTGGTTTCATCTCCAAACGGCAGGTTGGTAACTCTGGTGTCAGAGCCCCGCTTTCCTAAGAAAGAGTCTCAGTGGCCAAGAGTGGAGATTACTTCCAACATGGAGGTCTTGTCCAAAGACTTTCCGACCTTTTTTCTGCCAGCAGGTATGACCCTGGGAAAGCACCCATTTAAATAGTTGCACTCCCCACTGAAGGGAAGTGCAGCTTCACAGCTAAATTTGAGCCTTAAAACCAGCTTTGGAGTTCTAAGGCAGACTCAGCAGTTGCCCAGGCTAAAAGAAAATGAGGTGTAAGGATGGGCACAGGCTGTCTGCTTCACGGCGTGGAAACAGAGTCTGCCAAAGGTCTACGGCCTGGGCCTTGCTTGTAGATGCCTTCATGCCCAGGGGTCCCCAGGGGTGTCGGCTGCGTGGGGCAGGGCTGTCCCAGCACCCTCTGCCAGGGCCGGCGAG